GGCCAAGAGAAGGGTAATTATATCCAAATTGACCAAGAATGTAATATGATATTTCAATTATTTGTTATTAGTATATGAGGTATGATAATACAGCATGACCCACAGATATAATCTCATTGGGGGTGTATTTTATTAGGGTGCAGGCAGGGCTTTGTTCCACTCCACTAGTAACATCTCTCAGTTTTTACTTCTGATGGTCCAGTTCATAATCACAGATCACCAATATGCAGACACTATTGCCAGTGCTAGTAGCTTAGATGCTCTCTTTCCTACCTGCTAGGTGACATTTCTGAGTGGTGCAAATGGTTAAGTGCTAGACTACTAGTTGAAAGGTAGTGGTTCGAACCCACCCAGAGGTGCCTTGGAAGACAGGCCTGGTGACCCTGGTGATCTGGTCACAGTATTGAAAACCTTATGGAGCAGGGTCCATGCACACATGGTGTCTTAGTTACCTAGTGCTGCTATAACAGAAATATCATAAGAGGATGGCTTTAACAAACAGGAATTTATTCTCTCACCATCTAGGAGGCTGAAAGTCCAAACTCCAGGTGCCGGCTCCAAGGGAAGGTTTTCTTTCCCTGTCATCTCTTGGGGAAGGTCCCTGTCATCAATCTTCCCCTGATCTAGGAGTTTCACAGCACAGGGACCCCAGGTCCAAAGGACGCACTCCCCTCTTGGTTCTTCATTCTTCATGGCATGAGGTCCCCTGTCTCTCTGCTCTCTTCTCTCTTTTATATCTCAAAAGAGATTGACTCGAGATACAACCTAATCTTATAAATGGAATCCTGTCTCAGTAACATAACTGCCTCTAATGCTGCCTCACTAACATCACAGAGGTAGGATTTACAACACACAGGAAAATCACATCAGATGACAAAATGGTTAACATTCATACAATACTAGGAATCATGGCCTAGTCAAGTTGACAAACATTTTAGGGAGACATAATTCAATGCATAACACATGGGGTCGCCATGAGTCAGAACTGACTCCAGAGCAACTAATAACAACAGGTGGCTGTCATAGGTATGGCAGGAGGGACCTATAAGTAGCTTTGCCTGGCCTTGCCAGACTGTTCCTGATGTAAAGAGAAGAAAGGTAGCCTATTAAAATTAAAAATAGAGATTATAGCTGTCAGATAACTATTTTCTTCACACAGTTTCGGTCTTTCTCTTAATACAAAGGAAAAAAAAATAGGGGGGCAATATCTTTCAAAAAATAACATAACAGTTAATATATACATATTAACTATTTCAATGTCTCTTTTTCAACCATTTGGTCCCAGTAATTACCTAGTCTGAAACTAACGTAAGTTCCTTACAGAATCAATTCCAATATAGCTAATATGGAGGCAGCATGGTACAGTAAAAAAAAAAAAACGCTGCACTAGGAGTTAGATAATGCATCTTCCATTCTCGGTACTTCCACTAATCAACTATGTGACCTCAGGCAAAACTTTAGACCTGCCTGGGCCTCTAGAGGAGCGCTGGTGGCTCAGGAATTAAGAGCTATGGCTGCTAATCAGAAGGTTAGCAGTTGGAATCCACCAGCCACTCCTCAGAAACCCTATGGGGCAGTTCTACTCTGTCCTATAGGATCGCTATGAGTCAGAATCGAATTGATGGCAATCGGTTTGGTTTATTTGTTTGGGGCCTCTAGAATATTAGATGACTTGAAGCTTCTCTTCTGATGTGAAAATGGCATGATTCCATATGCAATTTTGTAATGTGACCTTGAATATAAATATAGCCCTGTCCTTAGGTAAGATTTCACTTGATGTTGTAGGTGGATGATACAGTAAATCTACTATAGAAATATTTTTCTTTTCCTCTCCTCCCCCCAAAATTATACAGTTTCTTCCTCCTATCTGCATTTTCACCTCTGACTTCCTAATCACTTTCAAATGCCTTGCTGTTTCACAACAAAAACAACAACAATAATCACACCAGCAAACATCGATTATTTCCTGTCAACCAGTCACAGATTAGTAAGCAGTAGAGTCAGCATCTGAAGCCAGGCAATCTGACTCCATAGCTCACACAGTAAGAATACAATAAATATTAACAATTGCTTGCACCTGAGTATTTGCCAAGTACCGTGTCAAAGCGCATTAAACATATCTAATTTGATAACAACTCTGAAAGATCTATATTATCAGTTGTATTTATTACAATATATACTACATAGTATATATTATCAATTATATTTTCTTATAGTTAAGATAAGAAAACTGAGGCATATAAAGTTTATGTAATTTTCCCAAGGATAAACCAAACCAAATCTGTTACCAAAGTCAACTCCAACTCACGGCAACCCCATATGTTTCAGAGTAAACAGAGCAGAAGTGCACACCATAGGATGGTCAAGGCTGTGACCTTTCAGAAGCAAATCGCCAGGCCTTTCTTCCAAGGCACCTCTGGGTGGGTTGAATTTCCAGCACTTCAGCTAGGAGTTGAACATTTAACCATTTGCACCACCCAGGGACTGTACTATTAAGTAGTAGAGCCAAGAGTTGGCTCTTCCTTCATTCTTTTTCTTTCTTCTATGCTACGTTTTCCCTAATTTCTCTTTGCTATTCCTCTCTTGTTTATCCATTTTTCCATTTCTTTTTCCTAAAATATAGTATTATGCACTTAATTCATCTCTAACATAAGGGACAACTCAGGGAATAATGTAAATTAAGAATTAAGTCTATGTTAGAATCTATGGCATGTAATAACAAGTCCTAAATTTCAAAGATATACAATTTCCTGAAAATTAAAAAAAAATTATTTTGTCTTGAGTAAAATCATAACTCAGAATTTTCATGTATTAAGTCATTGTAGGTCATATACATTTAGTAAATATATACATATGTATATATGCAAACATATATACAGTAACCTTAGAAATTACAATGTTGAAGCTCACTTTCATAATAGTGTTCTGTCATCTCAATTTATTTTTTTGTTCTATGAAATTCTTCGATTGCTTTTCTCTGTATCAAAATTTTATTTTGAAAAGAAGCTTTAAGAAATATTTTAAGTTTTACTTGTAACAACATGATTATTATAATTTCAATCTAAAACTGTAATGTTTAATTTCATACAGTATTTTTCATGATTTGTAGGATTTATTTTTAAACATCTTATTGCATCATCTACAGAAGTAAGTTTAAGATTCTTTGTATATATTGTTTACTTCTTACTGATCTCTGCGGAGTTAATTTGTCACCATTAATAACTGTATTTTCTGTGTTTTATGTTGAATACTCCAGGGTATTGTAATAAGACCAGTGCTTGTAAGCACTGACCAAAAAAACTACACCCTAATCTTGTCATTTGGGTTGTCTTATTATATTTTATAAAAGAAACTTTTAAAATATCCATATGCTTAGAGAGATCCAGTTTTGCCAAATTTCTGAATAAAATTAATCTTAAACCCACAGGCTTTTAAGTGCCTTTTTAAAATACTTTTGAAAAAGTAATTTACTTCATTTCATTATGAAAGAATTAAGTCTAAAAATACGACAATTACTAAAACACTAAATTACTAAAAATGTTTTTTCAATGTAAACATTTTAAAAGTAAATTTTTAAATATAAAGTAGATTTATTTGATTTTCCAGTGGTCTAAATATACTGTTGTCTATTCGATGGTTGAGTTATATAGTATTTACCACAAAGGAAGACTGATAAATATTAATTTACTAAAATTAATAATTTTAGGTTAAGAATGACTAACATTTGACAAGTGTTTTTGTAAGAACTGGTTAAAACAGTGCTGTTTCAAAATATCAAAGCATATTGTAATTTTTACCTGTTTTATTAGATCACTTCAAACAACTATTAACCCTTCTTTCTACACCAAAAATAACTGTAGAATAGTGTGATTTCTGTTACATTATTGCTAGTGCCGACTTTTGTTTTCCAGGTAATACACTGTCACCATGAATCAAGAAAATACTGTGTGCTTTATAAACGTCATTCTATTTAATCATTACAACAACCCTCTGAAGTCGCCATTCTATTCTCATTTTACAGATCAGGAAACTGAGGCTTACAGAGCTTAATTAACATGACTAAAAGGATACAGGTAGTCAATGAGGTAGGCAAGATTTGAACCAAGCTCTGTCTCACTACAAAGCCCATGTTTTGTCTAGTTTATTCAACAATAAGGCCAATTTTAGTCAAGTGGCTTTTAAAGAGACAAAGAAGGGGAGGTTTTATTTCGGGAGAACAGATGAAAATGCTGCTTCTTCAATTAATTCCCTTCTGTCCTGGTCAGTTAAAACCCTTAATTCCCATCTCAAGTTGTATACAATCTTTTAACATTGTCCTTTTTAATCCTTATTTTTCTTAGTTACCCCAAAGGATCAAAAATGTTGGTAAAAACTGTCAAAATACTGATAGGATAGAATTAAATGCCTGCAATTTAACAATCCCCACCCCAACACCACCATCAAATCGTACCACACAGGCAATGATCTGTACTACCTATAAGTAAATGAGACCTTGCTCCATGGCACTGAGCACTGCTTGAAACAAGATTCTTAGTTTCCTAATGTCATCAACCAACTCTTCAAATCACATTCCAGGGCAAATTCAGTTATAGAATATTTATAGACTAAAAGCTTGTGACGTGCAGAACTGAAGTGTTTAGTTGTTTACAACACATAGGAAGAGGTTATGTTACATTCTTTCTGAAGGTATTAATTTGTTTTGAGTTTAAATATAAACTAGAGAATCCTTCTGTATTAAGCAATATAATCAAAATTGCTCGAGGTCAACTCCCTCCATCAGGGATCTCTGAAATATCTCAGAACTGGAAAGGTCTTGAGCTACTTGTCTCTTTCCCTCAGATTGCTGGTCTTATTAACTGGACTTTGCAAAGTATGCCATTGTTTCTGACCATTAAGAACTATAGACTAATGGCTATGTTTCACTCACACAAAATTAGCATAACATCTTCAAGAGAAATAATCTTAAACATATTTTTGAGATTGAGCATAAATGTCCTTACCACCATCTGCAAAGCCAGTTGCAGTGATAATAGGTACAGCCACCATAATTAGTCCACTGCTGCTCCAAACATACTTCATCAAAAACTGCTCTATCATGATGTACCACAAACGTTTGGATAAAATGAGGTTCATCTGATCTGCTAAAGCTTTGTAACTTTTCTGGAGTTGTTTCATTTCTACCTATAGAGGGAAAGAAGATAAGAATTAACCCAGCATGAGCTGTAAATATTATGTGTTTGAGGAATTTCTTTAAAGGTATGTATATGTTATTTCATTTTTCTTAATATATATAGTATTATCTATGACTCTAACCATCAATAAATAAAGATAATATCAGAATTAGGCATTATTTAGTTTTTATCACACCTGTATAATTAAAAACTTTTGCTACTTACTAAATATATTGTTAAATATAAAATACATACAAGTGATTTATAATTTTAAATTAATATGAATTATAAGGCATTAAAATTAAATCATACCCTATAGGATATGAGTAAATAATGTTAGAACCTTATCGTTCTTGATCATGGCAAAAATGTCTAAAGATAAACACATGACACACATGTGTAATTAGATGCCACTTTTGAACTGACTCAATTTACTGGATTTTTGTCTTTTATGCAAGAAGCCTACAGTACACTATAATTTACATTCTTGAGTTCAAAGATTCAAGAAAAATGACAAATCAATATGATTAATATAACATCTGAGGTCAATTTTAAAGAAAAAGTTCTAAATGTGCTTAGATTTTTCTTCTTCAGGTTGGTACTGCTGTATCACTGATGCTTCAAAAATTAAATAATTCTCTTTGATGATCAAAATACTATCTTTAATTTTAGAATACCTTAACATTTTATTTGCTAATTCATTTGTATTAATATTTCAGATGCATCACCTTCAAAATTTCTGTCGTATTTAATATTCAGAAGTTACCTTTATACACTACCAGTTTATATAACTGGGTTCACTATTTTTGGAACCTGCTTAATGTTGAAAATCTTTAATATTTAAAAATAACGTTCTGTAACTCCTTTAATCCTTCTTCTCATTTACTCTCTAAGCTCAGCTTTTCCCTCAAAAACAGTATTTGTGTCAAAATATGGTGCTGAACATGAACCAAGGGTAATGTAAACACTATTTTGTGAGATAATCTCCTGTGCTTCTTTGCACTGAAGACACTCCATCATTGACTAGACATGCAAAAACTGTCAAAACTGTCTTCCATATGAAAGCATGCTTTTTCCCCCACTTGAAAAACAGGAAAAACAACAAAAAATAGTATCCTAAATTTTTCATCTCAATGGAAAAGCGCTTACTCTGGGTTTCTAAATATATTTTTTCTTCTAATGCTTTAGGACTACCTACTAAGCTAGGATTTAAGTTTTAAGAAAATGCTGTAGAGAGAATTCTCAGCATATTTGGGTATCTGAGGCTAAGTAGGCTGCTTTTTAGAGTTATGAAACATTAGAAAAATTTGCACTCTATAATTCTTTAACAGCTTGTGATTAAAAAGGGTAATGAAGCATATAGTTTAATACAAGCTTAAATGTCATAGGAATCTAAAATGAAAAAGAAGTGGGTCCATCAACAGTACAACAGATGGTATCTAGCACTGCAGTGGCAGCTTGAACAGTCTCATATTTCACTCATTACCTTAATTTCTATCTTACCTTATGTCCTCTGTAAAAGGCAATTTCTTCCACATTGGCTATAATTCTGGAGTGCACATACCGCAAATAGCCTTTCCTATGAGCTTCTTCAGCCACCAATTTACCAAATTTGGGAGAGCAGGCTTTCAACACTTTAGCAGTAGCATATACCACAAGCCCTGCTAACAGGGTGGGCCCAATTGGGCTTGCTCCTCTCGATGTAGCAGTCTGGATGAGTGTGTAGGAGGTCAGGATTACATCTAAAATGGGTTTGGTCAGATTGGAATACAAGTGAGCCACAGATTGGGCAAACATCATAATATCCTCTGTAAGAGACTGGTCAGGGTTTGCCAGTCTCCCATCCATATTGATAACCTTATAATAAGTCTGATTCGTAAAATAGGTTTCATAGGCATGGTCTACTAGGCGAGTTCTGAAGGCCAAAGCCAGTTTGCACTCCAGGTATCTTATTGCACTGTTGACGAAAGTGGCAGGGATGGCAATCATAAGCCACTTGATCAGTTTGATGATGAAAGTCCAAGGCTTCTTTTCCACAATGCTTTTCACGATTTTTCCATCCAGACCAGCCACATATATAGACAGAAAGGTTCTTGAGATAAGAGCCACTGAGTGCAGGCAGAGCCACCCCGTCTCAGTGGTCACAAGTTTTGGAAAGAGAATTTTCCTAAGTTCTAGTAGTTGTTTAAAAAAATCTGCATTCACTCCAGGCGAAGGAGTTTTACAAGTGGTCTCTGTGCAATGCAGTGTTTGTCTGTTCTCTGCAGCTAGATAAGCTTCTTTTTTTTTCTTCCCATAGCCCGGTTGCTTTAAACGCTTGCCAATGATGGGATAGAGAGTTTTCAGAGCATATGCCGCAGCCACCAGGCAGGCAGCCCTCTTAGCAGCAGTCGATCTGGTGGTCCATTTCACTCGATCAGCTGCTGCATTTAGTATATGTGTCATTTTCCCAGTTATGCAAACCGGCTTCAAAAAGAACTGGTTTTAAAAGATCATGCTCCTCGGGAATTCTCAGCAAATGTTTCAGAAAGTCCGACAGTGTTCCATAGTCTGCAGAGTCTCTCCTCTTCTGGTTTTTATTTTGTTCTGCTGTGGCAGATGCAGCAGGACTCAGGCTCCAGTGCATTTACTGGGGATGATTCCCTCAGAAGCTCGAACTGCACCAAGCCGCCCCAAGCTCCTCCCTCCCAGGCTCTTCATTGGCTGTGAGGGCGGTGGGACCTTGGAATCCTCGCGGCTTCCCTTTGAACCTTGAAAATGAGGAAGGAGAAAAATGAGTTACATCCTTAAACAGGAGTTCAGAGAGTTAAATGGCTATTTTTGGAGAGGTCGATTCAGGGCAGCTGGTGGCGAACAAAACCTGCCCTAGCTACTGAGCATGCTCAGCGTCACTTAAAATCCCGCAAAGTTTCAGAATACACATCACTTCTCTAAGGTTTTAGAAGATACCACAAGAGGAAGAGCAAGCAGAAAGGGAGGTTCCCAAGAGCTATACTGAGATGGGGAAAAGGAACGAAGGATGAAGGAGAAGAGACCAGAGAATCAACATAAAATGAATATGAAAAGGATACGGAATGAATCAGAAATGGGTCAGAGAAGAAAGTGACAAGTGGGAGGAGCACTGGGGAAAACAAAGTATCAAATACTCAGCTCTGTCTTTCGTGGCCCCCCCCCACTTTTTTTTTGTCTGTAATTTCACAGAAGGTCCCAGAACCTTTCACACAAATTACAGTTGAAGATACTCTTTGTAAATAAGAGAAAGGTCTTCTGTATTAGAGAAAATAATTCTTTGCTATCCCTCCATCCCTCCTCCCTTTTCCCACCAAACCCATAGGTTTGCTTGTCCTTATAATAAAAAACTTCCAGCCCCATAGTTGCTATTTTTAGCAATGGAGATCTGATGCACTGGTATTTATTTACAAGGTGACTATTAAATAAATGAAGGTGGTGTTTCACTTCTCCCATCCCATTATGTCCTTTACGGAGCTCTGGTGGTGTAGTGGTTAAAGCTATGGACTGTTAACCCAAAGGTCAGCTGTTGGAAACCACCAGTGGCTGGGAGGGAGGAAGATGTGGCAGTCTGCTTCCATAGAGATTTACAGTCTTAGAAACCCTACGGGTTCACTATGAATCCAAATCAATTTGACGGCAGTGGGTAGATTATGTGACTCCAACCAAAATTTAGGCATTTGGGAACCCAGCTGTAGTCAAATGATGGAAACAGCTTTTCCAGGAGCTTACTTAATTTCACGAGTTCCTTGCCTTTTTCAATTTTTGGTTTTGTTTGCTGTGTTTTGGCTTTGAGATTATCTGCTGGCTACTTCCCACTTCCATTTTGGTTACTTGATAAAAACCAAGAACTTTCTGAAAAGTCCTTTACATCCCTACAGAGGACTTAAACCGCTCAAAAGTCAAGGAAAATTCTGCAACTTTTAAAACATGTTCAGGATGTTTTTAGGCAACGCTGAGTGTATTCTTGAACACATGAAAAACATTTTTGTTTCCTCTTTCTCTACCAAGAAGCACACACATTTCTAGTCAATTGGAGGCCTGGAAAGGTACGCATTAAGCTATAACAGAGATTGGTAAATCACAACCTGTAGACCACATTTGGCCCCCTGGGTATTTCTGTATGGCCTATGAGCTAAGAATGGTTTTTACACTTTAATATGGCTGAAAATATATCAAAAAAAGAATAATATTTAATGATATGTGAAAATTATTAAATTTTTATTGAAGTATCCATAAATAAAGTTTTGTTGGAACATAGCCACACCCATTCATTTACCTAGTATCTATGGCTGTTTTCAAGCCACAGCAGCAGAGTTGAATCGTTGCAACAGAGCATAAAATATTTATTATCTTTCCCTTTACAGAAAACAGTTTGTCAGCCCCTGTGCTAGAATGTAAAACTTGTTTCAGTGTTGAATGATCTTCATTATTCAGAATTTATTGTGAATAAAAAGAAATCCCTATTCTTATAAATCATAATATACTGAAATTTTTAAAAGTTCTCCTTTTCCATGTGCCTATATTAACTCCAAAATATCATCACATATCTCTTTGCAGTCAATTTAAGAGATTTAATATGTGAGTGTCAAATTTCTGCAAGTCTCTGACAGTTATCCACACTAGTAGCATAATCTAACATCCCAAGAAGACTTTCTGAGTCTATGTAGAGAGATACTGCCATAGTGGTTATTTTCAAAACATTATATTCCTAAGCTCATGCTTTCAATGTGTGCAAAATGAGGTTACCTTACATTTATACATTTTAATAATTTATGTCACATCTCCTGATATAATTAAACACAGAAGGTTAACTGTGATAGGACTGGTGTAGGGCCAGAGAAAACCTAACAGGAGGTGATGGGAGGATGTTCAGCCAGGCAGAATATGGTATACAGAGAGATGCATGGGTCAGACAACAGCTGACAGTCAAGCAAGTGGCTTGCATCACTAGCTTACAGCTAGAGGTAGCCAAATCAGGGGAGGAGCAGGGCAGTGGGAAATCTAGAAGCGATAACATTAAGGATGCAGACAGGTCCACACTTAGCTCCAGGTAGGTCAGTTTACCAACTGATAGTGAGGAACTTGTCAGAAGGAGGAATTGGGTATGAGGAAAATTATCAAGATAGAAATTTAGATATCAGAATTGTGGTGCAAGGATGGTTGAAGGCCATTACTGAAAATGGGGAACAGATCAATGTGAGATTTGACTTGTCATCGAGCTACCTAAGTACTGATCTAACTATAACCATTTAAATTCCATGCCACCCCCTACTTAATCCCTAGCCATCCCCTCCTTCCCAGAACCAATGCTCAGGGTTAGCCCCAGCATCTGAGACTAAGCTCAAGCCTTCAAGTAAGGCAGAGTAAGCATTCATGAGATAGAAAACCAGATAGGCAATCAGTCAAAAATATATGCAATTTAAGTAAGAAACTAAGAATATTCAGGTACTTCTTTCATTTTTTTATACTGGCAGTATGCAATTAAAGCAAAGAGAATGCTAAATTTAGTTTGATTTCCAAACTGGGGGAGAAAAAGAAGGTAAAAAAATCACCTGTTACTATATTAAACATAATTTGGACCCATTTCCACTCAAGCTTCTCAACTTTACATGTGTTTATATGGGAAAGCATTAAAATTGTCTTAAGGGAGGGAGAAATAATCTTAGAAAAAGATCTTGAAAATGAAAAATAAATAATAATTCTCAAATCACTTTGCTCTCAAGTGTGATACTCTCATGTATATACCAATATCTATGAAAGATCAGAATTATTTATATATATTTTAGAGATTATATGTATGCTTTATAAACTATAAAGTACCAAAAAGCTTTTTTTTGTAATAAAGGGAACTAAATACATACTGTATACATATATAAATCATAGGCTATATGTGTATTTAATTATAAATCAACAGAAATAATTTTTAGTAACAAAAATTGTCTGAGATTTAAGAATTTTGGATGGATTTCCTTCTCAACAAATGCTAAGTAGTATTTCATCTGTGTTCTAATCCTTTCTTGAACTGTTTCCTGACCCAAGAGATTATCTAATTGCCCTACTGGCCCTAAAATGGCACAGTGTTTGACTCCTATTATCTACTACTAGTCATGCTAGCCTTATTTATGTGAGGCATAAACAACATTGAACATGAGCTCCTCGGTCAACATTTCAGTTGTCACAAATAACCATCTATTAACTAGTTCATAAGGAAATATCCTTTGCTGTGAAGGAACAAGGCAGTAAATATCTTGTAATTCACCACTTCCACTACTTCCCTGTGTCTAGTACCAAGGCGGAGATTCCATCCAGTTCCTAGTTCTTGACTTTTCTCACCAAATTGGTTAACCTCTCCTTTAGGTCCTTTGACCAAAATGGCAAAAGAAATTGCTTCTGCCTCTCATGTGCACACCCCATTTAGATTCCTCAGTTAATCCTTCAGCAATTCTTTTCTCCTTCTAGTTAATTTTGTAAATTTGTATGTGTTTTAAAATATTGAAAGTAGGTAAGGTTGATACACAGGGCCGGTTGCTTCAGATTCTTGTTCCTGCCTTGACTGTATGGTTTAGTTACTGAAAAACCATAAGCCGTTCCATGTGAGTGATTAATTTGCTCTGAAATGCTGAATTCGCTTAGTCTAATTCAAACCAATGATAGATACACTTTGGTGAATTTTTGTTATAAAAATCAAAATTTATATGGTAAAACAAACTCTACCCTGGGACATAATCCTATTCTAGGTACCCTTTTCCAACGACTTAATTGAAAATGTACTGTTTGAAATTATGCGGTTAAGTACTGGGAAAAAACAAACAAACAAAAAAATGGCAATAATAAAATGTACTTTGCCCATTTGTTTTGGAGAAGAGATTTCTAGTTTCTATCCAAAATATCACAGATCAATTTGTAAAATAAATCGTGAGGATATACAAACATAACAGACATGAACCGCAAAATACAGTTTTTAAGATTTTTTTTTCAGAACTTTCAAGTCTTCGGGCCTGTAGAGTAAATCCAGTTTCGATCAAGTGCTCTTAGAAACTCACAAAACGCACAGGATCGTAAATTACTACAGTATGTTTTTTACAAACAACTGTTTACTATTAAAAGTACAAATCAAAGATATTTAAAGAATTTGCATATGGAGCGGACAAATTAGAATGGAAATACCAACTTTAGGGTTAGGGATCTATAACTTTGTCTTTGCATTCTTTTTTCTTTCCCAGATCTGGTCTTTGGCCGGAAAAGAAGCCAGAGAGCAGTACAGAACTAGAAAAAGTTATGAGTCGGTTTAAAACACTAGCTCTGTGGCTACACTCAAGATATTTTCATTTACTGAGGTTTCTCTTGCCTGAAGCGGTTAAGACTGTTTTCCTCCTTCTTCAGTGGGTCTGATTTGCTTTCCCACGGTGTCCCTTGCTGCCCTTACCAGGCCAGACTGCTCGGTAAGGCACCCACAAATGCCACAAACCGTGTCGGAAAGCTTGGCGGGAGAACCCGGGCCCGGAAAAGCCGGTGGTCGTAAGGACCTGTGACCCGGAAGGAGCCCGCTAAGATTCTCGGGAGGCTGTGCTGCGGGACAGGCCACTGTGGGACGTGAGAGAGGCTCAGCCTAGGCGTAGAGCTGAGGAGACTTCCGAGCTGCGATCATAGGGACATCACTGTCTTCTTGTTCGGAAGCTTTGGGGAGATGAACTGGGTCGGGGGGTCCCGGTAAGTTGCGCTGCAGGAGCCTGACACGGTAGCCCTTGAGTCCTTGAACGTCCATTCACATAATGCCGCCTCTTTCCTGATCCCTGGCGGGAAGTTATCAGCCTTAGTTGGAGAGAACTTTGTAGGAGTCACCTCTCAGTGGTTCTCCAAGCCACGTTCACGCCCACAGCACCATTTCCCTGTTCCTAAAACTAAAGGAATGCAGCTTCTCCCGATCCACTTTTCCAAGGGCTTCAACTGTGGGTCCCGCTTGCTGGGAGGTTCCTTTACCTCCCCGATCAGCCCCTACCTCCGCATCCTTCCTCCTCGTCTAATGAGACCTTTGAGCACCTGAGCCTTCCCTTTCTGGTTTCTTCCCTTGTCTGCACCTCTCTCTTGGAGAGAGCTTTTCTGGATTGATAAATAATCTTTGCATGGAATTTTGAAAATATGGAAGAGGCTAGTTCAGGCTGCTCGTAAATCCATGGCCTGGCAGTATTTGTCACCACAAATCCAAATTAGAGTTATTTTTTTAAAAGAGAAGTGAACTGTCCTGTTTTTTTCTTTAAAAACTTACAAGAGAGTTTACAATTTATTTTGTATTTAGGATTAATCACATAAAGGGTGATAAAACCAAAACCCTTGCTGTAGAGTCGATTCCAACTCATAGCGACCATATAGGACAGAGTAGAACTACCCCATAGAGTTTCAAAGGAGAGCCTGGTGGGTTTGAACTGCTAACTGTTTGGCTAGCAGACGAAGCACTTAACCATTATGCCACCAGGCTTTCCAAAAAGGTGATAGGTTGACAGTTTTCTTCTATAGAACCTATTAATTGCTGTTGACCTTAAAGTCCATTAGGTTGGAAGTGATCTGTGCCTGTGATTTCATTTAGATCAAAATCCTTGACTAGAAGAGTTGTTTTGATTGAGATACTAAATCATTACGTACAATTTTTGTCACAAATAGATCCAAGACAGTGGTGATATAGTGAGAATATAACACTTTTAAAGAATTTTGTAAGAGAAAAGAAACTTTGTGTTTGCCAAGTATTGTAGCTATATTCAATTAACAGGCATTTATCCTGTTCAAGAATAGGTTAGCATCGTGTATTTTAGAAATGTGTATGAATTATTTCTGATTAATGTTCTAGAATCATGCTTGCACTTTGGAGAAAAGTTACAATTTCCTCACAGGCTTCAATAGGATTTAGTTAATATGATTATATTTTGATGTTTATGAATTTGACATTCTTTAAAATGTAAATATTAAATGAGACGATTTATATGAGATTATTTTACAGATGCTCAAACACTATTAAAATATAGGTGCTATTGTTATTTATCATATATTGCAAACTTTTGTAGCTACTTAGTATTATTTCAGTTGCTTTTGGGTGGATGCAAAAGCAGGATACTTGTGGTAAGAATGTGCTTGCCTAAACGAAGTACTGCTACACTTGGAGGTATTAGGTACTAGGAGATTTAAGAAACCACAGGATAATCATGCCGCATCTCCTTGGTGCATCCATTTTACTCAGAGATTAGGGGAAAATATATTTTTAAATTTAAACAAATGTGAATGTATTGTTGAGTGAAATGCAAAATTCGTGTGAAGTTTTAACATAAACTATGCAGTTTCGAATAAATTTTCCTGGAGAGATGGCTCCCTTAGGGTCAAGGGCCAGACTGTTAATGAAAAAATGAATATTTCCACTTCTGACTGTCAGGGTACACAAGGGTAGACAAAATTAGTTGATCATTGTATTCTGATCATGAGACCCAAAAAGCCCTCAGAATTCTTGGAGACAGTGGTTTTGGTAGCCATTAGCAGTTGATTTGAGTTGCTATAGAAGAGTTATCTGTAATCCTTATCCCAAGCCACCTGGGAGTACCTGTTTATACCCCTCTGTAAGGGATATTTTTGGTTAAATTTTTGAGAAGAACTGTTAGGAACATAAATTATAGACAAGCAAATTAACTGGAGAACAATTAGAAAGTTTTGTGAGAACAGCTCTAGGGTATTCAACGTTATTTATTTCAACAAATGTATTTTTGCATGCCTGCCTGTTTAGAGCATTGTTAAGCTGCATAGTATGGTTCAGAAATGACAAAAGATATAATTCTGGACCACAAAAAGAACCTATGGTAGAATAGAAATCTGTCAAATCAAGTAAAACACTATAATAATAGACATTTAAATAGCACTTAATATGTAATAAGCATTGTTTTAAGTGCTTTTAATATATTCATTCATCTTAACAAGAATCCTATGAGTAGGTACAAATATTAGCCCCATTTTATAAATGGGGAAACTGAGGCATAGTTAGGTTAAGTGACTTGGCCAAGGTCACCCGAATGG